AGGCCAGGGACTTGCCCTGCGTATACATGCAGAACTTATCGGCACCTATATCCCGCAGACTGGTACCGCAGACGGCGTTTATTTTCGATTCGGCCGGCACAAACTGCAACTCGCGCTTATCCTTAAAGTTCCAGCCCGCAAATTGCCCACGCACCTCGTTATTGACGGACTCCTTCAAGGCATAGTCAAAGAAGTGCACGCATACCGGCCGGATGACATTGCTCAGCTGGTAGGGCTCTTCCAGTACGATCAGCGCCAAATCGTTGAGGAAATTGTCCTCACGCCCTTTGTAGCGACTGTGTAAATGCATTATATCAGGTTAATTGGAATATTGAAACGTAAATAACAAATATTTTATAACATTCAGAAATACTCTATTAATACCGTAATAAATATATTCCAATTAAAATGTATTAATACCCTAACCCTAAGAATGTATTTATATCCTGAAAATTAGTAAAAAGGGCTGTAATATATGTAATATCTCAAGCATGTCGGCCATCGGCCAGTAAATCTTAAGTCACTGGTCTTGGCATCTTTTAAGATCGACCTGCTCACACAGTTAGATTGACAGGCATTCCTTCAGACGGACATGTCTAGATCATGTTTAGACTCAGTTCTTCGTCCTCTTCAAGAATATAGATCGTTTATGGAAATGCCTTCGTCTGCCTATTACATACACTTGAGGAATCAAATGCGATCAGAGCTGGATAACCAGTCGGAATTGGCAATTCTGTTTGAATTAATCTCGGCAGGCTCACTTGATTTGTTGAATAAAGGACTTTCAAAAAATCGATAAGCTTCTGTTTTTATAAAAGTAAGAACCCAACACTTACGGTGCCACTTTAATGCTCTTCACGTCCCGTTTGCGGTCCTCGCTGGTGACATCATTGTACCCCCTATAGAGCTTGGCGGCAACCACGCGAAACGTTGCCAAACTGTAGGTTTGCTCAGATACCTGGCTGAACACACAATGGGCGGCCGTGATGACCAAGTCGGGGGTGAGCAGGGTGCCGCCGCAGACGAAATTGTAGTCCCTCTCGTTGTGCAAGACGTAGAGGCCGACGTGCCAGGGCACCACCGTGTTGTTGACGGAGTAGCCAAAGGCCGAGAACTGCTTGATGGGTGTCGCAATCTCTCCGCACTCCTGATCGCAGCGCTCCCGCTCACGGCTCCAGTGGCCGCTGGGCAGGCACTTGATATCCGGCAGCGTAGTCCTCAACGTTTGGAAGCCGGTGGCGCAAACGAATTTCACCTCGGTGCCAGGTGGATGGTAACGTTGGCCGCAATTAACCTGCTGTCCGTTATAAATGCACGTCGCCCTTGTGGAATAGCCGTTGAACAGGTTCTTGGAGTGGCCGCTCGAGTCACGCATGGAGTCGCAGTACTCTGAAAGCCAAGAATATGTGCCATTAGCTATAAAGTTCAGGCTCCTGTCCAGCTACTGTTGCCCTCTGTTACTCACTCACGCATCTTGGCACAATGGGCAGACTCCACTTGCCATTGGCGCAATGGCTGCTCTCGGCGCCCTCCAGCACGTAGCCGGGATTGCAAGAGAAGTAGACGGTCGCCCTGACAATAGGTGGCGTCAGATAGGTGCCACGATGATCCTTCAGTATGGGCTGTTCATCACCAACTGGCAGTGGACAACCCATCTGATTCGTCGGCTTCACCAATGGCTGTTCTGAGGGCTTTCCGGTTGTGTTGCACAACAATGGCGCCTCGTCGGACCCATCAAAGCAGTCGTTCTTGCCATTGCAAGTCAGCTGGTTGGAAATGCAGCCACCACTGGCGCATTTGAACGCGTAGCCAGGGCACTCGATGTGTCCGCAAAACTTGACCGCCTCGTCATAGCCGCTGCCGTCTCCACAGTCATCCTGGCCATCACACAGATACTTGCTCTTGTCAATGCATATGCCAGAGGGGCACTTGAACTCGTTGCTCCTAGTAATCGAAACCAATGCTTTTAACTGGCCAATCGAACAACTAATTCAATCACTAAGCACTCACTGACAGTTGCCCTGCTGGAGCTTATCAAACTCCAGTATATCGTCATCAGTGCCACATCGCAGCACCGTCTCATCCGATCCATCTGCGCACTCATTTTTGCCATTGCAGGGCGCCGTGCCGATCACACATGCCCCGTAGCTGCACTGGAAGTAGGGCTTGCTGCAATGCTTCCGGTGCGAGACACACGTCTGACCCGTCTCGTCCGACCCATCTGGGCAGTTCTTGACGCCGTCGCACGCATCGAACTTCGATATGCAGCTGCCATTATCGCACTCGAATTTGGTGGGGCCGCAGGCCCCATAAACTGCTCCTATTTGGCAGTGAGAAAGTTGGCATTAACGTTTTATAAACAAAAATAAAAAATATAATAAAAACAAATAGTGCGCTCGAAAATGTTGATAGGCCAAAAAACCATAAAATCAGTTGCAATTAACATTTTTAGAGGTTTGCTCTGCTTATGATACCCTGCACAATGCCAACTTTAAACAGTTTTTATTTAATATCCACATGTTTAAATTAAAATATAAATATGTTAAACTAAATTATTTAAAGCAAGCTACGAAAAAATTATTTTCCTTCTTCAATTAAATGGTAGAAACACCATTCGCACACTGTCTTCTTACAACAAAGGAGATCAGCTCAACTTGCCATCAGCCGCTACGGCGAAAAGCTGCTGCGAGCCCTGCAACCTAACAACGAGGCGAATAAAAACCCGTCATTGTCTATGGCACTCTATGTAAATACTGCAAAAGACTGTGGCTATATCCTTCTTTCAGAGTATTTCGCTTGGTAGAGATCAGAAGGTGCTGATCAAGTGCATAATAAAACAGATTGAATTGAAAGAAAAAAAGACAGCTCGAAAATGAAAATATCGAATTTCCAAACAGATATTTATCTCAAAATGCATTATTAGGCCGATCCACAGGTCAGAGTTCATTTAAATTCAACATATATAGTAAGCATATATTATGCACAAGGAATTCGTCAAAATAAATATGCCGACCACTGTATATTAATTTATATATATATGTATATACATATGCTAAATATATAGATACATGTGCGTATGTAAATGGTATACACATAGAGAACAAACATATCTATATATATTTGTACGTTCACTTTTATATTTTTTTAACAATAAACATAATTTGGTTATAGCAAATTAGTTTGTCAGATCGGTCGTGTACTATTTACTTTACTCAAGTTAGTTTAGTTCTTATCTACCTGAGAGACGCGCCTCTCAGCGATAGCACAACCAAAACAAAGACAATAACAGAGAGCAAAAGTTGTAAAGCGAACTCTTAATCTCTCTCCCTCTCCCTCTCCCTCTCTCTCTCTCTCTCTGCCTCTCTTTGATTCTTTCAATGCTGGCTCAAATCAAGTTTACGGCAATGGCTCTCACGAACACAAATACTAACGCATATTCATATTATCATTGGCATGCCTGATATGCAACGACTGTGCACATACAGTGTGTGTGTGTGTGCATGTGTGTGTGTGTGTGTGTATGTATGTGTGTTGTGTGCAATTGTGTTTTCATTGGGCATTTATTTTTAGACTTTTAAACTTCTTATTACCATTCTACTTACTTGCGCCAAAGCCCAATGAAATCACGCATATGCTGAGCAAAAGTAACTTGAAATATTTCAATACCATATTCACTATTCTAGCTTTAAAAAGATCACAATTATATGCGAGCACGCATCTGTATTCATTACAGTTTTTATAAATCCGGCTTTTAATTAAGATGATTGTGCTATCAGGAAGCACTTACGATCGCGCCGATCGACAGCACAAACAGAACTGGCTTGAAAAATATTAAGACAGCGTTTGAAATGCATGAAATATTTGCGTCACGTCGAACTCTGAATACCCTTAAACAGTTATTGCGCTCAAGTCAGCTTTGATATGTACTGAGAAGCTTATATGTTCCATCTTTTAAATATGCCACCTGAAAATAAATGGCCTTAATATATTTACTCAAGTCGTTCACATGATTCACAATTTCCGCAAAAATACTGTACACTTACTCTGCAAGAGTATTAAACTTAAACTGTGAAATGCTGAAACGAGTTTTAAGAGCGCAAACTGAAAAGAAGGCAGATTTTAGAGAGTGGATTCCTGCTCTTTAAATGCTTAAGGGAATGTTGAATGATTAAAAAGTGTAAAAAAATTATTTAGTAATCTACTAAATAATCAATGAATACGTAAGAAAAATACATCTGCATAGCTAATTACATGCAAATTAATTATATAAAATAATAATTTATAAAAGATTGCTATTCTAACGGAACATTCTCTATGCTCTATGGAAACTTATTGCTCTTTAAATTAAAAATATTACACATTGATACGAATTTTCATTTATCTGCGACCCTTGGATATAGAATCCAAAACATCCAAAATATCTTAAAGTGTGCTCGCTATCGATATGGTCTTTTTGTGTGTCCAAAACTAAACGATGAATGCTAGCGATAGGCAGGTACAGGGTGATCAGAGCGCACAATCTGGCGCCCTCTGTCAGTCGACAGCCAAACTAACAGTGCGGAACATTCGTGGCAGTCAGCTTTCTGTCAGCTTGGCCAGTACTGCGCATATTCAAGCCCAGGTGGCGCTGCCAACAGGCGCCCTCCATGATTCCGCTTTAAAAAAAAATCTACTTTTGTTTTGAGTTTTTAGTTTGCTTTATTTTTATTTACCACATTCTCACTGGTTGTTTTGCCTTTTATTTATAGTTTATAGTACGTATAGTTTATATTGATAATTTACAACTTACGGCTCTAACATAGCATGGCGTTAAATTAAAAATTACATAGTATACGAGCATAAACGATTTGTCTACCCTACACAAAATGACAGTATTTTGCACGTTTGTTCATTTCTGGGGCTTCGTTTATACATGAGTGTTAAGGAATAGAAAAACATTATTAATGTCAATTGGTTTGTGAGGCTGTGAGGGGTAAGGTAAATTAAGAAAGCCACAACAATGTACAATAATCGTAATGTAGCCTTTTATTAATACACGTACGCACACATGCACATATACACATACATATGTATTACATAAGTAAGTAGTAGGTAAGTTTGTAGAATGCAATAAATTCTAACGCCGACGCGCTCCGTTTCATTTTTACGTATATCCGTTGCTACGACAATCATTCACATTGAAATCATTAAATATTGTATTTTTAGCTTCTTTTTTTTTGTTTAGGGGGAGGGCAGCTCTCTTAGCCACGTACTCCACGCTTCTTTGTTTTTTCGTTTACGTATATGTTTCATTTTGTTTGCATTTAAAATCTATAACATTTAACTTATCTCTTACGTACTTTCGTCTGTTGCGAATATTCTCTTATTGTTGTTCATTTATACTTGATTTTCATGTAAAATACATAAATATAAATATATATATATATGTATATATATATTGAGATTTATGTATATGTATATATATATATATATTTATCTGTTGAACCTTATGCGCTAGTTACGTATACATCATGTGAAGGTTGCTTGGTTAGCCCTTAAGTGAATCGAACTGAAAAGAATATCAACTCGGAGATCGCATCGAGCACAGCTCGCTGCTTGGCCGAAAGATATCGATAGCTATCGATAACGATAACGTTATCGGTATGGTTATCATCTCTATTATAGCATTCAACTTACGTACATTTAACGAAACGAGATCAAAAGCAATTTCGCATGCGCAACAAAAGCGGATCGCAAGTGCGACCCGCCGATTTCGGGAAGAACTCTAAGCTCTTATTTTATATGAAGACAAAACGAAACAACAAAAATCGTAACTAAAATAATAACACAATTAATTCATTCGTTTTTCTTTAATTTTTCGTTTGTTTTTTTTTTTTTTTGTTTTAGATTTTTTCAAAACCAATAATTTATTCGTTTTGCCGAGGCAAAGTTTTTGTTTTTCTGCATGTTGTTGTCAGATAATCTCATAAACGCTTTTCATTAAACTAAACATAATAAAAATAGGATTTAATTTAGTTTAAAAAACTTTAAAAATTACTTAAAGAAAACAGCTTCACGTTTCTGGTTGTTGTTTTTGTTGTTGTAGTTGTTGTTTATGTTGTGTGGTGTTGTTTTTGTTGCACGCTTAAAAAGCCTAAGACGAAAACTAAACAAATTAATTTAAAATTAAACAGAGTTAACTAAAATTGCATTAAGTTTAAGCACGAACTATACACGTTTTTGTATTATAATAATTCTTTTTTTTTTTGTTTTTTGTTTTTTTAGTTTTCTATTATTCTCCTTTTGTTTTTGTAATATACTTTTACTTTGCTAACAAATTCTATTTATATTTAAGTTAAATTTTCAATAGTTTTGTTTTTAAGTAATATTTGTTTTTGTTTTTTCCTTTTTTTGTTTTGTTTTTAATTGGTTTAAAAACGCGCCTTACAAAAATTCATATCAACAGAATTTAAATTTTACCTTTTAACATTTTATATGAGTATTTTTTTTTTTTTAATTTTTTATTTGTAACTTTATTCGAACAAAATAATTTAAACATAGCAGTAAGCAACAAAGGGGTTTTTTTGTGTGGGTCAGGTCGGGGCAGGGTGTGGGTTGCGGAGCGACATTGGCGGTAAACAACATTTGAACAGAATTTTTGAAAAATGAATTTTGCTCGTTTTTAAAACATAAATCTTACGCGGGCAAACAATTTTTAAATAGTTTACGAAGATCGTTTCTAGTGGAACTTTAAATGAAAATTTGTATTTTGTATTCGTATGCATAAATTTACGTATGTATGTATGTATGTATCTAGGTAAGTAGATCTGTGTTCTGTCAACTACTTTTAGAGTTTTTCATTTTCTTAGAGTCTACGAAATTTATTTGTAATTTTTGTTGCTGTTCGCTTTACGTATTTTCGGTTGGTTTTCAAACAATTTGAAATAGTTCTTTTATGGTACCATACAATATCAATATTATTAATTTATATATGCAATTATTAATTTAAGTTAAGTAAAGGGTTTATTTGTTACAATAATTTTCATTTTGTTGTTTTGTTTTTGCTGAATTGATTCTAATTCTGATCTAAATGCCCGCCCTGGACGGCGGCCGCCGCGGCCGCTGCCGCCGCTGCCTTCTGCGCCTGCGCCTGTTTCTCCTGCTCGTTGAGCTCCTTGATCGCCTGAATCTCCTTTTTCAATTTCATTCGTCGATTCTGGAACCAGATCTTGATCTGTCGCTCCGTCAAGCACAGCGCGTGCGCCATCTCGATTCTCCGTCTGCGTGTCAGATAGTGATTCGTGTGGAACTCCTTCTCCAGCTCGAGCGTCTGGTAGCGGGTGTATGTCTGTCGGCCGCGTCTCCTCAGACCATTTGTGCCTGTTTGGCGAGAAGAAATTTTGAAACATTAGTTAGGCTACAGCAACTATAGCCTTGAATGGCAATTAACACAAGATTAAGATGCCGCATAGGTATGTCTGCAAGGCGATCTGAGCTTTCACCTGCAATTGCTCCCAGTTGAAGTCTTAATCCAATGTCTTAATGCCATTTTCAGCTGGTGTCTTTAGCAGAGACTGGGTATGCAAATACATTGACATATGTAGCAAGACAGCGAGTGTGGGTTCAATTGCCTCATTTGGATCGTTTATAAACATTTCAACAAGCATATTAAATTGAAAAATCATTTTGCAAAATTTGCTACAGAAATCGTTGGTTTTTTTTTTCTTTGCGTTTTTGTCTTTGCGAAAACATTAATATAAATTTTTCAGCAACGATCAGCAACATTTTGACGTAGGCAGGCAACAAGAAAACAAAAAACAAATACTAAAAAAAATACATTTCATTTTTATTGCCATTGGCAGTTGCCTGTTGGCTCTTGTAGCTTGAAGCTGCGGCTGTATCTGTATCTTTTGGCACAGAGATCGTTACTTTAAATTGAACGTTTGCTGCTGTGCCGCCGCGGCCAAGCAACGTTCAGGCTGCTGTCAGTCGTGTTGCATGCTGCACGTTGCACGTTGCACGTACCATATGCTGACTGGCAGCCTTTCAGTGACGTTGTGCCTTGTGCCACTTAAATTGCAGTTATGCCATTGTAATGCAACTTTAATTGGCCAAGTCACAAGAGTCGACAACAACAGCATGGAATGTGACTGCACTTTAACCATTCTCTCTCTCTCTCCCTCTCTCACTCTCTCTCTATCTCTATCTCTGTAGGCTGTGCTATTCTGCCGTGTTAATCTCTGATTTTAAATATTTATGAAGTTTAATTTGCCTCAAGTGCAATAACTCAATTTTATGTGCACACACTCACACTCACACACATTCTCTCTGGAGAGATTTTATCACACACGCCCCCCTCCATTGCCCCTCCATTGCCCGACTGCACTGTGGCCAGTTGCCAATGGACAATGTTAAGTAACTTTCGCATTTTATTGGGGCGGCTCTCGCAGTTTGAGTCTGGGCCGCCGTCAGCCCTGTCCTGGCCTGGCAAAATGTTAAGTTAAATATTATGAGCATTTATTATGTTATAAATTTGGCCTAAAGGTATTAACAAATTTATGCCGGCACGAAAGTCATAAAGTGAAAACGCATTTATCTTTCACATTTACCCGTACAAGTATTCCAGCATTGGAGTCTGTATGCATGTGTGCATGTATGTATGCATGTGTGTGTTTGCATGCGCCCAGACACACGTTAAATAAATGGCGAGAAAATTTTATAGACAATAAAAACGATATGAAAATAAATTTCCACCATGCAACAAAGAAATTATCAGCTTATACGTTCAGACGAATGCATATACTATGATATGTAAATTTATACAATATAATTTTGTTATTTATTTATGAAAACATTCGCATATAACATTTATTTAATTGTAAACAGCGCGAAATTCTTACAAAATATACATATTATGGCAATTCATATATTTTATATATTGAAAAATCGGAAGGGCATTCATATTGAGGTTTTGATATCGAAAGACGTGACAATATAAGTTGATTAAATAAAAAAAAAAAACGATGCATATTCTCACAGAATATGGCAGGTCGACTGCAATAATTTATGTTTTTATTTGTTTTTATAGATTTGTTAATTTAGATTTGTGATTGTAAATATTTTGTTTTATATTTATGTTTATATTATAAATTATGTTGTGTACTTAAAACAAATTGAAAGTTGAAATTCTAAATTTGATTCAAATGTATTCAAATTATTCTAAATAATTAAGTTACAAAACGAAATATTTTTGTTTTAAAATTTAATTACAAATTATTCAAAATATTTATTTATGATTAATTTTTCAAATAATTTGCCAAATTTTTGTAGCCTTAATTGTTTACGCAATATTTATAATAGTATTTTTCCAATATTTCTGATAAGGTTATTAAATTGATTAGCCTAATAAAGGAATCGTGCTACTTATTACGAGTCGAAACAGTTTCCTGTTTCAGATTTCATTGCGCTTCTTCTTCTTAATGCCAAAGTCTTTGCAATTCCAATTTATTCGTTCGGCCCCCAAGCTCCACCCTTCCGTTTCTTAAAATGCAAATAATACAAATAAAATGGCAACCCGTAAATGCATAAATAAATTTATTTAGCACTAAACCTGTTTGCTGATTAACTTAAGTCTCAGCGCTTCACTCGGGCACTGCCGCACTCCGCCCCCTCTCTTTCACACTTACTCGCGCTGGCTCACTCGCACGCACGGAGGCTGCGCTTAGTCCTGGCGCATGTCCTGTGCCAGTGGAATACATCACGCTGAGGTTCGCAAAAGTTTCATTTTATTTAGGAGGCAACTGGCAAGAAGGCGGCTCCCGACTCGGCTTCCACTAGTACGTGAGTTGAGCTCAACAATTTTAAATGGAATTTGTCACGCGCCTGCCGCAGCCCAGTCCCCCCTTACCCTGTCCGCTATACACAGATACAGATATATATATACATATATATATGCAAAAATAAACTTTTTACGAAAGTTTGCTTCAATTTTTTTATACTTTGGCTTATTTTTTTTTGCGGGGCTCACTTTTTTTCTCCAGTGTTGGCCAAGTTTTAAATTTATTATGCGAAAAAGTGCGAAATTCATTTTGCTGCCTTGCTCTTCTTCTTCTGCCGTTGTTGCTGCTGCTGCTGCTGCCACATCTCCTGCTGCGTCGCGCCATTTTCTTTTGTAGACTTTCGGGGCATTTTTGTGTATTTCTAAGTACATAATTTAAATGCTGGTATTTGCGGCAGCTAGGGGAGGAGCGCGGAAGGGCTTTAACTAGACAATAAAACTTGCTATGGCAAGGCGCGAAATTTTTTTAGATTATTTAGACGAGTGCGAGCATTAAATAGGATGGGTAAATTGAAAGGGAGGAGGGAGGGGTGTAGGGCGGAGGTATACTGGAATCTTTTGAGCACACGCGTACATCACTCTTTGCCCCCTCCCAACCTTTGAGATACATTTTCAAGGTTCTGTCTACGCTGCTGACGGCTGATATTCGTTTTTATTTAGGCGTAGGGAGCGGGAGCTAGAGCGGACAGGGAAGGGACCTACTTGCCGTGTAGCAGCTGCACCCGGGTGCCTAGTACGTGTTGTATTTTTTAACTTAAATTCCTGCGGGATTTAAAGTTTTGACAGCTTACGTGTTTGCTTTTTGCAGCGAACTTTGAACCAAGCCCCCCTCTTCCAAAAAAAAGAGAAAAAGAAAAACAAACCCACGTCTTTGGCCAACTGCCACAAACAGTGGCTACATCACACTCACTCTCCCGCTCTGCCTCTCTCTATCTCTCTCTCTCTCTCTTTCTCTCTGTCTCTGTCTCTTACTGACTCACCCCTGGCCAGGGCGTTGCCAATAAATCTCCAGGTGACGGTGACTCCATGTTGCATGCGGCGCATCGTGTGATCTATGCTTCTATTATAACTATTTATATACACAGATACACAGCTACAGATACAGATACAGATACAGATACATGTGGAGAAACGGGCACAGATACACGCACCAGCAGTGCGCATGTGTGTGCAATACACAGTTATATACTTGTGGCTGGCAGGCAACAGAAACTACTTATATTTAATTCGATTTCGGCCCAACTTCCCAGTTCCAGTTCCAGTTCCAGTTCCAATGGCTTCCCTAAACGCTACCTCAGATACCTCCCTACCTCGCTCCCACACTCCTTCAAGCGTGCTCTAATTTATGTTTTGTTTTGTCGTCGCTGTTGCCTTTGCTGGCACATAAAATTGTCACGCACGCGCCCGCCACTGGGCCAGAAGTGAGAAGAATCCATCGCGGAACACGTCCCAAAGCACATGACCAAAGTCTGAGAGCAGTTTGATAATAAGGCAACAATTTTGTTTGTAATTCACTGGAATTACAATCGCTTAGCTGGAAAAGGGGTGACAGCGCAGACGAAGTAACTCGGGTATATACGATTGGGATCTGAGATATTTTTAAAAACTGTCGAAAACAGCCATTTAAAATATTTAGCTCTCAGATTTTTATAATTGGATCTTATGCAGACCCTAGACGCAACTTTAAAGGGTATTTGTTTTTGATTCTTGGGAAACTAGAAATAAATATATGATCTGCCAACTAAAAAGCATAATAATATATTATTATACGTTTTTCAAGAAAATTGTATGTTTGTTGCATATTTTAAGCGTTTCAATATATATGCTCTGTAAATTCAACAAACTTTTAGAATTCTTTTGATAGCGTTGATTCGTCGAATCATTTGATCCACATCAAATATAAATTAATAAACAATTTCAATAGTATTCGCATAAATCTCAAAGCTGTTTATTTCACTTCAACAGGCTCAGGCTGATATCTGCTGAGTCGCAAAAGCTGTCCGGAAGTCGCTCAACCGGAAATTGTTTGACAAAAACTCCTTTCTGCCAAAGTCTCTCTCGCACACAACAAACACACACTTGCACACGCACACATGCATGTACAATCCATACAAAATCGATTAATTGAGTGTATGATGGCTTCCCTACCAAACCTCCCTCACGCCCGGTTCCTTTGTCGCCTTTGTCTTACTCCGATGACTACGACGCACGCATTTTGTTCGCAATTTAATTAAATCTATTTTCGTGTGTGTTGCTCGTAGGCGTGTTTCCACCTTATGACGTCCGGGGGGCAGGGCAACCTTCACGCTTTTACATGCATATATATATGTGCATATATATGTATTTATACATGTATGCTGAATTTGGGCAACTTGAGAGTGTCGATAAAACAATTAAATGCGCCAGAGAGACGCACAAAAGCCGCAGAAAATCAAACCGAAGGCTGATTGCGAGACAGAAAACTAATTTTCCGCACTGCCAATCGAGGCGCACTAAATCTGTCAATTAAATTGGCCGCAGGGAGTGCGATTCCCTAGTGCGT